AAACATATCTCCCGTAATAAACAAATAATGTAACTTATTTAATTACACTCAATGTAAATGCATAAAGATGTATACCAATCTGCATTAAATCTTTATCCGGGTTACATACTAAGTATAATTATAAAAGCGTTTCTTAAGTGTCAAAGGCTTTTATTGACAATTACATTAAGTTTAAGTCAATACTTGCGGTGTTGGTCCTTCTTTTTCAAGACCTCTTGAAAATTGCTGTCAATCAACTTTTGGGCCAAATCCTGACTGACGGAAGCCCATTCTGGCATAATCAATGCTTGGAGTTAGTCAGAATTTGTGGGTTTTTGTTTGTCCACCTGCCTCTTGAAGATTGACCACAACTTCTCAATGGGATTAAGGTTTGGGGAGTTTCCTGGCCATGGACCCAAAATGTTGATTTTTTTTCCCCCCGAGCCACTTACGTAGTTATCACTTTTGCCTTACAGCATATTGCTCCATTATGCTGGAAAAGTCATTGTTTGAAACCAAATTGTTTTTGAATAATTGGGAGAAGTTACTCTCAGAGGATGTTTTGGTACCATTCTTTATTCATGGTTGTGTTCATAGGCAAAATTGTGAGTGAGCACAGTCCCTTGGCTGAAAAGCAACCCCACACAAATGGTCTCAGGATGCTTTCCTGTTGGCATGACACAGGACTGATCGTAGCCCTCACCTTTTCTCCTCCAGACAATCTTTTTTTGGATGCCCCAAACAATCGGAAAGGGGATTCATCAGAGAACATGACTTCTGCCCTTCTTGAGCACTGACCCTCAACATGACTGATGTCCGAAAAACCCTGAGGAAGTCGAACACACGGAAGGCAGCAGGCCTGGGTCCAGGGGAGGAACTAGGCCAGGGGCCAGGGCTGGGCCCAGAGGCAGAGCTTGGTCAAGAGCCAGGGCTGGGTCCAGGGGCAGAACTGTGTCCAGAGGCAAAGCTGGGTCGGGGGCCAGAGCTGGGATCAGTAGCAGAACTGGGTCCAGGGGCGGAGCTCCACCAGGGGTCAAAGCTGGGTTCAGGGGCCAGAGTTGGGTCCAGGAATGGAGCTTGGCCAGGGACCAGAGCTGGGTCCAGGAATGGAGCTTGGCCAGGGACCAGGGCAGGGCCCAGAGGAGGAGCTCGGCTCAGGGCTGGATCCAGAGGTCGAGCGAGGTCCAGGGGTGGAACTAGGCCAGGGGCCAGGGCTGGGTCCAGAGGCAGAGCTTGGTCAGGAGTCAAGGCTGGGCCCAGAGGCAGAGCTTGGTCAGGAGCCAGGGCTAGGCCCAGAGGCGGAGATGGACCCAGAGGATGAGCTGGACCAGGGGCAAACCTGAGTCTGGCAGTAGACCTTGGCCCCACTGAACCCTGGGTAGCACATCGCCGCTTGCTCACTGGCCCCATGCTGCTCTCGGAGAAAGCCATGGAAAACCTCCTCTTTTCTGGCCTAGTGGTTCCCAGTTTGGATTGGGACAATGCTACATTGGGAGGCACTGGAGGGACAAGAAGGCAGGGAGAGCAGAGGTGAGGGGAAATCAGAATCCAGACCCCACACCTCAGACCACACCAAGCAGCCCTTTTGGCCATCCTCTCTCGCCTAAACACAGTTTCTCCATTCCTACCTTCCAGGAGGTTCTGCAGGCTCTTCTCCTTCTTCGAGACTTCCACCAGGAAGTGCCTGGGCTCGAAGTTTGCCTGACTCAGGAGAGGGGACTCCCTGCCGATGTTGCTCTCTGATCTAAGGAGGATGACAGACCTTCAACTGAGCATAACGATTTAAAGACTTTGGGCGTCAAAATATGCCCCTCATTAATATTTT